AAAAAGCAGTTAAATATAGTATACAACACCACAATTTGAAAATCAAAATAAACTTACTGGAAGACGAAGGGATCCATATCCCAGAATTTGATTGAGAAATGATCAACCGCTGCCACAAATCGATTTTTAGTTGTATCAAATTGCACAACACCCATCTATGTTTCCAGAAACCCTAGATTTGCTATTTTTTGAATTGTAAGTAAATACAAGATTTGGGTAGATGTGATTCTTCCGTCAGTGATGCCATAGATGAAGCCTTCTTCTCTATAACGGAAAAGCTTCATTGTCTGAATTGGTGTTGCGCCGTCATGCTACTTCGGCGGTTCTGGTTCTGGTTTTGGTTAGGTTTCGGCTTTCAGTAAGTAAGGTTAAGATATGAAAATATTTCATGAAATGCTACACTTTTGTATCATTTTTGTTGCTGTTGGATGAATATGGATGTATTTTTGTGCTTTATTCTTATTTCACCCCAATTAGACTTTGCTACAAATTACTATATTTATATCATAAATAAAAATAATATATTTTACATATATAAAGAATTTATACCATGTATATATTAGAAATATATATTCATATTTAATAAATATTTTTTTAACAAAAGGTGTTTTTGTCATAATAATTTATACCATGAATATTTATCTGATTAATTCATATAAAAATATAACAATAATATGAACTTTCTATAAATTATATTTATACCATAAAAATGCATGGTATATTTCAGATATAAAAATGTATACCATGTGTATATAGTAAAAAGTAATAATAAATTATATGTAATACTAATATTTTTCTATAAAAAATACTTTCAAAAGAATAAATTTATACAATGAATATTTATTTCATAAATTTATATTAAAAATATAACTATAATCTATCTTTGCCACTAATTATATTTATACCATGATTATAGTTTAGATATGAGAATTGTATATCAAACATATATTACAAATAAAATTCTATATGTAATAATACTATTAATACTGATTTTACATGAAAATAAAGAGTGATATTAAAATAAATAATATATATAATAGTTATAGTATAAATAATATGTTAGTTAAAATATTTGAATACATATAGAAAGAGAAATATGTGATAATCTTTTGAAGGTATTTTTTTTTAATGATTGAAGAGAACTTCTATAGGTTTCTGTAGATTCATAAGCCAAAATTCAAAACTAGCTTTATGTTACTCTAGTAATAATGTCCATTGTCTAGTACTCCATTACTGTGCTCCAAGTTTCATAGTTTGTACTATCCAAGTGTTTATATAAGTTTTTGTTTTGGTTTTCCACCTGGAGTCTGAAACCCATATTGAATCCCCGACTAAATCCAAATCGCGCACTGCAACGTCCATTGGGGGATAGCTCCAATATGATTTTCTCCGTACCCCGGGCTCTAACCCCAAGACCTCGAATTAAAGGTGGAGCAATCTCACCACTGCACCACAACCCATGTTGGTGATTATATAAGTTATTATTCTTTTATCTCCAAAATTGAATTTGTAATGAATACAAAAATGAATGGTTTCATCGGTTCAATATAGTCATTACATACCAACTTCATCTAAATTTGCTTTATCTTACAATCAGTATTTAGACAATGAAGGAAAGAGAAGTAGTTGGTAATATAGAAACTTTCCTGAATAAACTACGAAGGAATGTCATTAAAGTAGTTGTTTTCATTTTCCTCTATATATGTTAATTCCTATTAGAATTACCATCAAATTGTGTTCACTTGTTTCATATCAAGTTCATAGGAAAATGATCAATAATGCCAATTGCAGCCTGCAGGAGAAGTTTCGTGAGATTGAAGAAGTAACAAGAAGAAGAATGAATTGAAGATAAATGAAGGTAGTGATTACAAATAAAAAAGGGCCGAGAATAAAACTTCTTATAGTGAAGGTATTTTTTATTCACTTGGCATCATGAAATACACAATATTTTTGTTATTGTTTTTTTATCCCTTATGTTTCCTATATACTTTTGTTATTAGGTAAAAATGTTTTCCCTTGCAGTTACCACACCATTTGTAGCTTGTATGTCCTTTAACCAATTTTGTTGCATGGTCCATTCACAATCACGACCATTACTAATATTGTATCTCTTTTTTCTTTTTTTTTAAACTACTAAAACTGTATCTTATTGAGCTATTTACTTTTTTTTAATTTATATTCTTAAAGTTCACAGATTTCTATGTGATATCCCCCCTCATGTTTTCTTGATTCTAAGATTAGGAGAAAAGGTAAAAAAAAAATCAATGTAATTTGTTTGTCAGTAGATATCGTTTAATTAGACTTGTAACGATATCATTAATTATTGTTTTTAATTTGAATAATTGTTAACTATATGTTTATCATAAATTACTAACACTTCTTTGCATATGTGATTAACTTGACAATGGTTTATTAAGCATTTTAAGGAAGATATATGTTAGTTTAATATCTATAGAGATAAGGCATGCGTACATCTTACCGTCCAGAGACCTCACTTTGTGGGATTGCACTGGGTATGTTATCGTTGTTGTAACTTTTAAGTTTAAGGCTTCCTACTTATAGGGTTCCAATCGAACTTTAAGCCTGTTGAATTAATTTCATCAATGGCATCTCATGTAACTTCTTTTTTCCTTTTCAATTTTTAGGGTTTTCTTGTCTTACAATAATTACTTCATTTTATTACCTTATTTGTTATCAAATATTTTCTTTGTTATTCAGTGTTTATTACTATATGTTGTTCTATTTGCTTTGTATCTCTTTTGCTCTCTTATTTCCTTATATATAATCGTGTTTCAAAATTCACTTTTCTTTTGAACCGATAGTCTATCGGAAACAACCTCTCTACCCATACAGGTAGGGGTAAGGGTATTCATACATTTTATCCTCTGTAGACCCCTCTTTTTGGAATTGCACAAGGTATGTTTGTTGTTGCTGCAACTTTTAAGTTTGAGGCTTCCTACTTATAGAATAAGTTTGGGATTGCACAAGATATAGGACACTCATTTTGTTTAAAAATGGAGGACACACAAAGAAATCTTGTCTGATTTTTATATCAATTTCACCTACTAATATGTATTTTACATTCTATTGGCTTCAGTAAGTAAGGTTAAGATATGAAAATATTTCATGAAATGCTACACTTTTGTATCATTTTTGTTGCTGTAGGATGAATATGGATGTAATTTTGTGCTTTATTCTTATTTCACCCCAATTAGACTTTGCTACAAATTACTATATTTTATATCATAAATAAAAATTAATTTATTTTACATACAAAGAATTTATACCATGTATATATTAGAAATATATATTCATATTTAATAAATATTTTTTTTAACAAAAGGTGTTTTTGTCATAATTATTTTTACCATGAATATTTATCTAATCAATTTATATAAAAAAAATATAACAATGATATATGAATTTTCTATAAATTATATTTATACCATAAAGATACATGGTATATTTCAGATATATAAGCGTATACCATGCATATGTAGTAAAAAATAATAATAAATTATATGTAATACTAATATTTTTCTATAAAAGTACTTTCAAAATAACAAATTTATCCGATGAATATTTATTTCATAAATTTATATTAAGAATCATATATCATATCATATCATATATCATATATATATATATATATATATAAAAGAGAACTTTAGGCTCACCTATTGGCGCCATCAAAAATCAGAATTACCTTTTAATTTATTTATTTCTGAAACTAACCTTCCCCTTCCATGGAAAGTTGTGACTTCTATGAAAAGTTGCGACTTTAATGAAGAGTTGTGACTTTTATGAAAAGACGTGACTTTTATGAAAAGTTGCGACTTTAATGAAGAGTTGCGATTCTTATGAAAAGTTGGACTTTTATGAAAGGTTGTGACATTTCCAAATAGTTGTAACCTTTCTGATAAGTCACAATAAACATTTGTTCACACTACCCTTTGTTGTCTATAAATAGAGGGATTTCCTCTCATTTTAAAACAACGAAAATTCTGAACCTCTTGTTCTTCTTCTTCACAATTAAATATTTGTGTACTTTGCTCCTGTTGAGTGGCTCACTGATACCATTGCTTATGTTACAGATCATGGTATGTATTTTTGCAGTCATTAATTTATGATTATGTTATTAAAGAATAAATGATAAGATGTAATAATTTTAATTTTCCTTTGCATTATTATTGTTTGTTACTACGTAATCTTGTATGTAAGATAATATAGTGTTTTAGTTTTAATGACGAATAAGTTTTAAATATTATTTTATAAATTCCGTGAAGTTAAATTTCCGCACGAAGCGCGGATAGTTTTACTAGTGTAACAATAATCCAACTTTGCCACTAATTATATTTATACCGTGATATTTTAGATATAAGAATTGTATATCAAGCATGTATTACAAATAAAATTCTATATGTAATAATACTATTAATATTGATTTTACATGGAAATAAAGAGTGATATTAAAATAAAATATTTGAATACATATAGAAAGAGAAATATGTGACAAGTCTTTTGAAGGTATTTTTGTTTAATGATTGATGATAATTTCTTTGTATCATCAGTTCATATCACATTTGTCATGAGAGTGAGTTGTCTTTTTCTCACAAAATTCTGGCCCATTCTCAATGAGCCAAATCAGAGAATCAAGCTCTTTTTTTGTGCTGATAATTGAATTAGCACCATTGTAAGGGAAAAATGATTAAAACAATTATGACAGTCACCAGATATAAAAGAAACAACACACATTGTTGTTCATAATAAGTTGAGGTTGAGGAGACGTCACAAGTCAAAGGGACTCGCCCTTAGAAAGCTGAAAGGAAAAATTGTTGGAGTACTGAGCTAAATTATGTTATGTAGCAAATGGATTGCCACACACAAAAGCATAACATTGGTGTAAAAACCAAGTCAAAGAACACAATTTTTTGTGGCATTACATACACCTCTCATGTTTGACTGGAATTTGGGTAAGATCCAAAAAAAAACAAGACACGAGACTGTTTGCTTAGAGGTTTCTTTGTTATGTTGGTGCTTGATCGAAGCCTGAAGCTGCAATAGATGGAGCAGCTGGTACACCTTCTGCAAAGCCATTTTCAAGTGGTGGAGGGACGCCCCATTTGCCTTCAGATTCAAGTGGTTCGAAAACATGAACACCACCATCTGACATACCTAATGCAAATTGGTTTGGATCTTCTGGATGTGCTGCAACTACAACTGGGTGGATATTTGAATTGCTGCAAAAATATGACAAGGTTATTGAAAAATTACTTCAAATATCAGAGATGAAATCAGTTTGGTGAATTGACTACGTATCCTGACATTACTTCTTGAGGATATCAGACACATAAATTTACTTATTGTATGCACACGAGGATATGCAGAGAAGTTGCAAAAATCAAACACCTGACATAATATTCCGAGGGATACTCCAGTGATGCTAGAATGTTCATACTGGCAATCAGATGCCCCACTTCATTGTAATAACATGATTTTACAAATACATTATTGCAATGAAATTCTTTTGAAATATTCATGTCAATTTTTTAAAGCAAGATGGTCTAGGATAGTTAATTTTGTAGTCCTCTTGTATGCATTAAATGTACGTTATGTTCAAATGTAGCCATGCATTGGTTCATATCTTTGTACCAATGGCCAAGTTTGTGGGGGTTTTTCACCTTTCCGTGATAAGTAGCAGTTCAGACTTCAGGACTGGATATTGTTCTGATACCAATTTCACTATTCTAGCTCATGAAAGTCTAACTACAAGAAAAATGATGTTTTCTTCTCTTCAATAGTGGATAGCAAAATATCTTAAAAATTAAAGCAATAAGAGGTTGTTTCGTAGAGTGCATTAGAAAAAATAATGCCTGTCTTAGTTTTATGTATTACTAGTACCATTTTTGATACACTCCCAATATATGTATAACTAATACTACACTCTACTTGGTATTATGCTAAGTATTACTAATACATAGAAATTCATGGTATTAGCAATGCAAGGGGTTATAATGCATGCATTCGAATGGTTAAAGACATAATTGTCCCTCAACATTTTCCATGTCCTTTCCACCATATTGATGGAGGGTAATTTTGTAAACAATTTTTTTATAAAAAATAATGCAATACGTGTTATTTTTAAAGAACCAAACCAAACATTGCATATTAAAAAATCTCAGCATAACTAATGCTTGCATTACTAATGACAACATTATTCTTACACACCCTACCAAACGACCCCTAAATAAGTTAGCTGGCTGCAAAAGATACCTGATACCGGGTGACAGATAAGCAGAAGGAATAATGCAGCATTGCATATGGAGGTTCCCGGCAGTGAATACGCACACAGTTGCATCCAAGAAACTAGCATATATAAGCTGGCTATCACATGAGTATGTGGCATGAGAAATTGGGGCATCACTTTCACGCGGAACCCACTGTAGAAGAAGATAGAAAGTATTAGTTGTTGAGATCTGACTGCATTTAATAACCAACTGTAGTCCGGGAGAGGACTAACCTGCTTAAAACATTCCAACTTTGCTGTTTCATATACTGCAATCTGTGCCTCATGCACAACAAGGAAATGAGTTTGATCCTGATGAAACTGCACTCTGGTATCTGATTGAGATATTGATTGCCCCCGTAGCTGCAAGGATTTAGCCCTCTGCATTTCCCACCCAACAGTGCTCCATACACACAGCTGTACAAAAGCAGATGATGTTGATGAATACAAAAGGATAAGAAAGAGCAAAGAGAAATATAAATAACTATCCCTTTAAAGAGTGTCAGAAATGCAGAGTGTAATTTTTTATAGATTAATGATCATTTGAGATGTGGATGTAGGCTTAGCATTAGTTACCAGTAAAAGACATTAAAAATCCAAAAACTAATCATGATTCATGACTGCAGAGAGGAGATTATGCAAAAGGAGATAATCTGCAATATACTTGGCTTATCTGTAGGCTATATAGTTCAGATTTTGTTTTCTTCCAAAATGCTTGAAACACTTTCAAAACAACAACTTCATGTTTGATTATTCAAAATTTTCACCTTTATCATCATCAAATATGACATGCAGTGAAATTACTTCTAATTCCCATGCCTATTTGATTGGCTTAACATTGAATGGGATGGAGAGTGTATGATGCACAATATGCAAAATCGTTGGGAGAGAAAATGTCTATTATACACATGTATTTTCCACATTAATTGTGAGAATAGTTTAACAAAACACTGAGAAGTAAGTCAAATACGACATGATAGCCAAGCATATAAGTCATTAACCTGAGAATCAGCTCCTGAGGAAACTAGCACATTGAGCACATGAGAGAAGGCAAGGCCAGTTATCCTTTTAGAGTGCCCTTTAAGCATGCTTTTAACCTTCATCAAGAGACTCACATCTAGTCAATAACAATGTATGGTAACTGGGCCTAGAACATTACATTTTCTGATGACTGACAATAACAACAAAAACTTCTTGTTTATCTTAATCATACCACATCCAGTCGGACATTATATATCTGGATGGTAGAATCATCCATGCCAATAGCGATAATGTTGTTATCTTGAGGATGGAAAACAATATAAGTTGCTGCTGGAGGTGGAGGCATGAAAGATGTCACTCTCTGCATCCATAAGATAATAATTCTGCACAGGATCTTTGAGTCAAGGGTAGAAATAAAAAGAAAATCTTGTTATACCTTGAATGCCATCATGTTGAACAAGGACATCCTTCCACCAGATGTTGATATCACATAGGCATCATTCTTGGACAAAGCAAAGCAAGAGACAGCTTCCTCATGGTTTGGTTCGTGCACATCATATGTCATTAAGATGCCACTTGAAGGTTGCCACAGTTGTGGTGAAACACTGGCTGTGGCCTAAACAAAGATTGACACAATTCTCAGAATCACTTCTGTACAAAATGGAGGAAAGCCATGATTTTTGTGTCCAATTTACCTTGCCCTTTGAATTGCGCTCATTTTTTTGCCACTTCCAAAGCAGGTGAATAGCATTTGATGCTAATGCTAAGATAACATTACCAGAGCTCGTATATACTAAGCTTGATATCTGGAGTAAACAAATTGAATCATAACCAGAAACTGTATCATCAAAACTAATACAGTTAAAACCAGGGAACAAATATTGATAACTAAACAAACTCTCCAGCTAAGTATTGTTTCCTAGTAAGAATTCACTGTGAAATTTTCTGTTCAATATCTGATATTCTGATTACAATGCCCTCACATCCATGTTGTGCAGTCAGAGAAAGTCGGAACACAACAGCTTCCAGATTGTGGGGTAAGGGGAAGGAACATGGCTACAATTCAGTAGAAAGCACTCAAGACGTGAACTTGAAATACCATGCAGACGTTTAGTTACTATTGCTAGTCAAAAGTTAGACACTATTAAAGTTGTCAAATCATTGCACACAAACTTTAGAGGCCTTCTGTTCTATTTAGACAATCTCGAAGGAAATCGACAGACAGATCTCTGAAGGTGCAGAAAGTGATACTTGAACATCCACTCATCTTTACTGTAAGTTGAAAAATCTATTACGGAAAAGAAAAGAGACTAAAACACAAAATGTATAGGTGCTAGACCTCATTTAGGAGGCCTTAAGCTTCCCATGACATTCTGAAAGTTCACCTTCTTTGGAATTTTAATTTCACATCCGGTGACCAAGATAGAGAAAAGAGATGGACGTGAAACTAAGAACCCTTCCCTCCCAAACAAGAGAACTCACATTCATATGAAAAGAGAAGCACAACACTGTTGGATCATATAGAGAGGTCAAATTTTGTATTTAAGGGATAAATAATTAATGTTGAACAACCTTAACATAAACTCTTCCGTGGCACAGTGGTAAAGCTTGTTCATTTCCACCCTTTGTGCGCAGGTTCGAATCCCACGGAGCACACAACCGTTTTAATTTTATGTTGATATAGAACACAACTTCACACACCATTATCATGTTCCTCAAGTTTCTTAATTATTAATATTAAAATTTTAATAATATAGAGTAACATGTATGAATAAATTATTTTAATTTTGAATATTAAAAATCATGTATTTCTAATTTTTATCTAGGATATAATGTACTTTCGAATGGTGAAAACAAAAAAGGCAACATTTTACATTAAAAAAATTGTGTTTATATATGTTAACAACTTTAAACCCAAAGCTAAAATCAATACATGCATTTTATCTTCTTCTTTTTTAAGAAAAATATTTCTACTGGTGTGATTTATATTTCGTAAAGCTAGACGCATTTGTTCTATCAATATTTCACTTTAAAAACAATAATCATATATTTTTATCATATAAAGTCAATGCATCAAATAGAAGAAGAAAAACTCGATTGTTTATATTTGATACTGACAAATGTTTAGATCGTTCATGGTAGAATCACTAGGTTAAATAAATCACTAGGTTAAATAAATAACATTCAACTTACTTATTAAAAAAAAATTGAACACCCTTGATGAAATTTCTGGCTCCGCCACTGATCATATGGTTCATTTCCACTCAACTTAACACTAACAATTTTATTTGCTGATGGCATGTTTTGATGTCACGTGCCTTGATCATATCAGATCGTGCACAAAGGCATCGTGAGAAACACTAAAAATTCCAACCTTAACATGTTCACTGGAAAAGTCTTCCATCTCATTTTATACATGAATTATCCGCTATCTGTATGTTCAATGGAAAAGTTTCCGAGTTTTGAAAATGATATAATAAACACAATAAGATATTTCATGAATCAAGAGACATGGGGGTAATACCTTAGTCACTCCAAGATTTTCAGGAAGCTTCAAGGACCGGTACTGTGATGATTCTCTAATTTCAGTGAGCCTCCACATCTTAGATTCATCATTAGGCTCTACATTAAGCTGGGGTGTTACATTTCCTGCATCTTCATTCTAACAAAGCCAGTAGAATGTAAAATACATGTTAGTAAATGATATTGACATGAAAGCAGACAAGACAAGACTTCTTGGTGTGTCCTCCATTTTAAAACCTAATGAGTATCTATCTATCCATCTTATATATCTATCTTATTCTATAAGTAGGAAGCCTTCAAACCTAAAAGTTACAACAACAACAACATACGCAGTGCAATCCCACAAAATGGGGTATGGGGAGGGTAGAGAGGTTTTCGATAGACCATCGGCTCAAAAGCAAAATTGAATTCAAAGCACGATATAAGGAAATAAGAGAGCAAAAGAGATAAAGAGGCAAATTCAACAACATATAGTTACAAACACTGAATAACAAAGAAAATCTATGATTACAGATAAGCAAATGAAATACAGTGATTACTATTAGACAAGAAAACCCTAAAATTGAAAAGGAAAGAAGAACTTACATGCGATGCCATTGTTTGGAGTTAATTCAACAGATTTGAAGTTCAATTTGGAACCCTAAAGTTGTTGAAGAACGGCGAGGCGTCAATGACAGGAGGAATGATTCCCTTAAAAGGTAAAAGGAAAAAGACCAAAATAGCCATCAAAAGTTGAACGACAGTTTTGCCCTTCGTGCAAGCATTATTGCAATTATCTTGTTTTGTAAATATACATTGTAAGAATCACACAGAGAAGTACAATTTAAACTTTTGATTTACTTCGTCAAAAAAATGTAATAAGTGCTTATATAAGTTATTATTATACCATTAATCTTACATGCCTTTTTTTACCTCCGAAACTGAAATTGTAATGAATACAAAAAAGGAATGGTTTCATCCGTTCAAGGAAGTCATTACATACCAACTTAGAGTAAATGGCCAAAAACATCTCTCAATTATAATCCAAACTTAAACTACATCCTCATATTATAACAATGAACAAATAACATCCTTGAACTATCCTAGAAGTTACAAGTTACATTCCTCTCTTAGTTTTCTGTCAAAAACTAACAGCTTCAAACAGAAAATATGCCATGCACGTGACTTATCCCTACAAATTTACCATTATTGTCCCCTCTCCCTAGCTTCTTCAGCAAAAGCAAAAACATAAGCTTCCATCTCTTTCATTTTTATCATTTGGAAAAATATAGACAGGAAAAAGTGGAAGATAAATACTCCACCCATACCTTGCTTTCCAACAGCCCTAATATCACTACAGCCTACAAGGAATAAATATTTGGTGAGATTAATCTAAGAAATGTGCAGAATAACATGAAAAATAATTTCTTCTCTTTAAAATAGAAAGATTTTTATATATAAGCATTACCTTTGAAAAGTTTACTTTCATCTAAATTTGTCTTATGTCATAATCGGTATTTAGACAATGGAGGAAAGAGAAGTAGCTTGTGATATAAGAATTTTCCAGAATAAACAACAAAGGAATGTCATTAAAGCTGTTGTTTTCATTTTCTTCTGTGTTAATTCCTGTTAGTATTACCATCAAATGTTGTGGTGGGCCGGCAGGTACCCCTCCACCCTTAACAAAATTCTGGATTTGAACTTTGGGAATAGAGAACTGTCAATGATTACTATCAAAGTGAAACTTGCATGAGCAAATCTGAATTAGTCGGATCTTCAAACGGGCACCCGACATCAGGTAAGAACAAAGAACATATGGACATTCATCAAATTGTATATTGTTCTTTATATAAGTGTTAGTAAATTAAGAAGCACTCGCTATTTTTTTTTTTCTCTTAAATATATACTTTTATAAAAGTAATGAAAACCTTTCCAGTGGTGCAAACCTTGCTATTTCAACGATGGTTGTTTCTAATATGCAACCTTGCTATTTCATATAAATCAAATCAAAGGCATTGGTTTTGAAACAGTGAACATAGAACAACTATTAAATGCACATATTAATCTGGTTCTTGAGACAAAAGGTGAAAAAGTTTGACTATATACAACTACAAATTACAACGTGATTTGTTAATTACTTAGTAATTACCATGAGAAACACTTGCAATGCACGTGTCCAAAAACTAGTTTATGGAAAAAGTGAGTATGTTTCATATATATTTTTTCCATGGACCTGTGACCTGATAACAGCAAACAAGAACTTATTTCCAAATCACATTTAGGGGGTTAAATTTGCAAACCATTCCACTGATGCCAACACAGAGGCCAGTCCACCCTATCTGCAGAATTGTTTGCTGATGCTACAGATATTGTATTTAATATTAAAGCAAAGGACACCTGGTCATGTTTGTGTAAAGAAAAAATGGAACCTCAAGATTTATATTAACTGAGTAACAAGTACCTTTGCAGTTTCAGATGCCCCGGAAGCAAATACCGTCATTATCTGCCAAAATCTTTATCCCATTTTCATTAGCAGAAACAGCCAATAGAGAACCATCCTTGGTGAATCGAATTAGAGGGTTTGCCTTGAATAATTTATTGATATAAAAGAAAAAAGCAGTTAGAAGAATATAGTATACAATACCACAATTTTCTCAGTGAACCTCAACATAAACTTACTGGAAGGCCTCCATCAGCATCAATACTTGTCAGGAGTTGAACATGGTCCATATCCCATAATTTAATTGAGAAATCGTCACCAGCTGCCAAAAATCGATTTTTAGTTGTATCAAATTGCACAACACCCGGATGATTTCAAAACCCTAAATATGTTATTTTTTGAATTGTACGTAAATAATTTGTCTGTTGAAGTTTTTGTAGATGTCATTCTTGCGTGTATCTTGGTTTGCCATGCCATAGATGATAGATGAAGCTTCTCTGGTATTGCGCACTTGAATATGAGGGAAAATGTAGATGAAGAATGTCATGAATTTGTAAGAAACAGCAACTACTTCTGAATTCTGAATTTGGTGTTGCGCCATCATGCTACTGGAGTAAATTGACGAGGAGGTGATAAAAAAGTGTTTAGAAATTAAAATTGGTGACAAAAAAAGATTGACCAAGTCAATTTTTCTTTTAATCAGTGATTAAGATAATTGGGGTCTAAAATGTAATATTTAAAATTTCTAAACCTTTAAAAACATTCAAAATAAACTCAATTTTTAATTTCAAAATGTTTGAAAAGTTTTTCATCTCTTCTTAAATTTTAAAATTTAAAATCTCTTCAAGATTTCTTTCTCCTTTTTCTTCCTTCTTTCTTTCTCTTTCCAGATTTATTGTCCCTCCTCTTCTTCTTCTTCTTCATTTCTTTTTCTCTTCTTCCATTTATTTGTTCTTCTTTATTGTTGTTATCATTATTGTTGTCGTTCATTATTTTTTATCACGTTTTTTCTTTTTTCTCTTGTTGGTCTTATTTCACAAATTAATTTGCTTTAATTTTAAAAAAATTGAAGTTGAAGTCATTGTTTTTTTTGTAGAAAACCAAGCAACAACTGAAGTTGTCGCAATAACTGTTGAAGTTATTGTAGCTACTGTTAAAGTTTTTTCAGCAACTGCTAAAGTTTGCTCAGCAACTGTTGAAGTTTTTTCAGCAATTGCTGAAGTTGCTGCAACAACTACAATAATTGTTGTGGCAAGTGAGGTAAAAGAGAGGGTGGTAGAGTGGCTAATGAGATGTTGGTGATAAAAACGAAGGTGGAGGTGATGATTGTTATGGAGGCAGAGATAGAGAAGAAGGAGGTGGCAACAATTGTGGTAAAAGAGGAAGAATAAGAGAGTGGTGGCAATGGAGGAAGAACTGATGGTTGTGGTAAAGGAGGAAGTGGTGACGACGACGACGATTACGATGGCAGAAGGGGAGGGGATGGCAACGGCAGAAGGGTGGAGAGAAGAGAGGGTGTGGAATGGAGAAAATAGGGCTTTTATGTAAATAAGAAAACTTGAGGGTTTTAAAATTAGTGCCATTAGCACTAACCTTAAAATTGTCACCTATACTCAATAATTAAAACTTGTGTCACTTTTTCTTTATTTTGAAACTCTTTTGTCACCCTTAATTCATTAGCCCATGATATCACCATTGTTGCCACCTCTTTCTTCTCTACCTCTGGCTCCACAACAATCATCACCTCCACCTTCGTTGTTATCACCAACATCTCATTAGCCACTCTACCACCCTCTCTTTTACCTCACTTGCTACAACAATTATTGTAGTTGTTGCGCAACTTCAGCAGTTGCTGAGCAAACTTTAGCAGTTGCTGAAAAAACTTTAACAGTAGCTACAATAACTTCAACAGTTATTGCGACAACTTCAGTTGTTGCTTGATTTTCTACAAAAAAAAAACAATGACTTCAACTTCAATTTTTTTAAAATTAAAGCAAATTAGTTTGTGAAATAAGACCAACAAGAGAAAAAAGAAAAAACGTGATAAAAAATAATGAACAACAATAATAATGATAGTAACAACAAAGAAGAACAAATAAATGGAAGAAGAGAAAAAGAAATGAAGAAGAAGAGGGACAAGAAATCTGGAAAGAGAAAGAAAGAAGGAAGAAAAAGGAGAAAGAAATCTTGAAGAGATTTTAAATTTTGAAATTTAAGAAGAGATGGAAAACTTTTCAAACATTTTGAAATTAGAAATTGGGTTTATTTTGAATATTTTTAAAAGTTTAGAAATTTTAAATATTACATTTTAGACCCCAATTATCTTAATCACTGATTAAAAAAAAAATTGACTTGGTCAATCTTTTTTGTCACCAATTTTAATTTCAACACTTTTTTGTCACCTCCTCCTCAATTTACTCATGCTATTGCTTCTGGTGGGGGGAAGGCTAAGGTTAAAAAAAACATTTGGGGAAGGGAAAACGAAGGAGTAATGTGAGAAATCAAATTCTCATCCATAATCAACTAAACTATACTACAGTTATTCATTGTATTGTTAGTCCAAATATCACATTTCTTTTTATTGTTAGTTATTCATTGTATTGTTAGTCTAAATATCACATTTCTTTTTATTGTTACTTATCAGGGTGGCAGAATTGGTAATTAATATGGTTATCCGCTCAGAGCTCAGATTTGACATGAGTGTCGTCTTTTCTCATGAAATTCTTCTATGAGCCAAATCAGAGAATCAAGCAGTCTATTGAATTAGCACCATTTTCAGAGGAAAATGATTGAAGCAGTTATGACAGTCACTGGATATTAAAGAAACAACACAGATTGTTGTTCATAATAAGTTGACCCTTAAAGAGGTGAGACTTGCCAAAATCCAATTCAAGAATCATACAAAATAAAAAGCTGATAGGAGGAATTCCTCACTACACTAGGGAATATAAAGAGTAAAGTGTTCATTTTACATTACATCTTACCTCACGAGTTGGAAATTTACATGTTGGAGAGTACTGAGCTAAATTATGTCCTGTAGCTAATAGATTACCACAAACGAAAGCCACAACATTGGTGTAAAAACAAGTCAAATCTTAAGCTGTGACTAGTACACTGAGACTCCTAGCTCCACTGAAGATTTCACCTTCCCTTTCGATTGCAAAGAAAAACAAATCTTTGGGGTGTTACATACACTTCATCTTTTGACTTGGAGGATTCTGGTTAGTCTCCTAGAACGAACATTTGCTCGTCAGTCTGAACTGAAATTTGGGTAAGATTCAACAAAACAAGACACAAGACTGTTTGCTTAGAGGCTTCTTTGTCATCTTGGTGCTTGATCAGAGCCTGAAGCTCCAATAGATGGAGCGGTGGGCATACCATTTGCTGATCCATTTTCAAGTGGTGGAGGGACTCCCCATTTGCCTTCAGATTCAAGTGGTTCAAAAACATGAACACTTCCATCTGACAGACCTAATGCAAACTGATTTGGATCTTGTGGATGTGCTGCAATTACAACTGGGTGGATATTTGAATTGCTGTAGAAAAATGACAAGGTTTTATGAAAAATTACTTCAAATATCAGAAATGAAATCTGTTTGGTTAATTGACTATGTATCCTCACATGACTTCCTGAGAATATCAGACACATAAATTACTTGGGGTCGTTTGGTAGAGTGTACAAGGATAATACTAAATATAGTGTATTAGTTATACTTGCATTAATTATACATAGATTATTTTAATGCATTGTTTGGTTTGATGCATTAAAAATAATATGTATTGCATTAAAAAATTTATTTACAAAGATATCCTTCACTTTTATGGTGGAAAAGATGTAAAAAAGGTTTTTGAGGGGTAATTGAGTCTTTTGTCATGTTAATGCATGCATTAAAACCATTGCATTGCTAATGCCTAGAAATTTATGGTATTAGCAATGCACACTGTAATACACAATAGAGTGTATAACTAATGCTTGCATTAGTTATACATAAGTTGAAAAAGAGTACCAAACAAGGTACTAGTAATACACAAGGCAAATACATGCATTATTTTTTCTAATACACTCTACCAAACGACCCCTTAATGTATGGACATGGGAATGCAGAGAAGTTGCAAAAATTAAACATCTGAAACATAGTATTCAGAGGGATATTCCAGTGATACTAGAAATGCTAATCCTGGCAATCAGATACCCCATTTTATTGTAATAACATGATTTTACAAATACGTGATTGCAAAATAAATTATTTTGAAATATTCATCTCAATTCTTTTTAAAAAGAAAGATGATCTAGGGTAGTGAATAGTGTAGTCCTCTAGTATGCATAAAATGTATATTACATCCTACATAGCCCATGCATTGGTCGATGATATCTTTGTATGAATGGCCAACTTATGGGTTTTTCCCCCTTTTGGTGATGAGTCGCACTTGGCCTCGATATTGTTGTGATACCAATTTCACTATTCTAGCGCATGGAACTATAAGAAAAACGATGTTTTTTTGTCTTAAATAGTGGACTGCAGAATATCTTCAAATTAAAGCAGTAAATAACTTAGAAGGCAGCAAAAAATACCTAATACTGGGTGATAGATAAGCTGAAGGAATAATACGGCATCGCATATGGAGGTGCCCTGCAGTGAATACGCACACAGTTGCATCCAAGAAACTGGCATATATCAGCTGGCTATCACACGAGAATGTGGCATGAGAAATTGGGGCAGCACTTTCACGTGGAACCCACTGTAGAAGAAGATATAATGTATTAGTTGTTGAGATCTGAAGGCAGTTAATAACCAACTGCAGTCGAGGAGAGGACTTACCTGCTTTAAACATTCCAACTTTGTTGTTTCAAATATAGCAATTTGTGCCTCATGCACAGCCAGGAAATGAGTTTGATCCTGATGAAACTGCACTCTGGTATCTGATTGAGATGTCGATCTACCCGGTAGCTGCAAGGTCCTAGCCCTCTGCTTTTCCCATCCATCAGTGCTCCACACACACAGCTGTACAAAAGCAAATAATGCTTGATGAATACAAACAGATATGAACACAGAATTATAAATTACCACTTTAAAGAGTGTCAGATATGCAGTGTAACTTTATATAGATTAA